CGTCTTATGCGACACGTCTGTTTATAAACACGGAATCCGCTGTTTGTAAACGGTCCGCATTTTACCCTCACCCTAATTTACGTAACAAATTCGCAAAATAAAAACGTTCGCCGCATCTAAGGGCTCATTTCCCATTAACCGTATATAGTATCCCAACATAAAACACCCTTGTACAATGCACATATAGAAACTTACGGGTATCTGAACGCACACAACCAAAAAATACCCAGCACGGTACATCGCTCTTCCATCTCCAATACAACTAAACCCAGAAAGAAAAAACATGGCGGGGATAATGTCCAGCTTACGCTTGCCTCAGTCAGATTCCCTATTGGTCACGTATCTCTGGTGAAGTCGTCCAATGACAGTAGAAACTGGGCGGGACTCGCAGGGTGCGAGCTGAGCAGAATAAGCAGATTAAACCCGCAGCCCTTCAGCACAATGAACATTTCATAACACATTTAAGAAATATAACAGCACTATTTTAACCCATTCAGTAAATTACATGTTAAACTGCTCCACCGGATTAACTAAAGTGCTGACTTATCGTGAACAATAACTTCCATGACTGAGTGATGGCTCTGCTGAGTCTCAGTTCCTGTTGTGTGACAGTGACAGACAGAAGTGGCCAGGATCTACAAAAGTCCCCGGTCCAAACAGCCCAAGAACCTGTAAACAAGGACCAGGTTCCGGAACTTCGGTGTGAAAGCACCTAATAAGGTGAGTAATGAAACCAACAGGTGCAAACAGTTCAAAGAAGGAGGTTATTCCAAAGTGAGAACAGCTATGGGCTGCTGGGCTCTGGTCTGTGACAAATGCAGCCCTCCAGAGCAGTAGATGGAAAAGTGCTTTAAAGTCCTCAATTCTACATGCCTTTTTTTTTTAGCACACAGTAGAATACAGCCCACAGTTGTTAGTCCAAACGATCAGTGCAAATCTCTACCTGTAATTTAAAACTGACTGGTTTCCTTTGGCTGAAAGATATTATAGCCTGTAAACTGAATTTTGAATATAAAGCTAACATTACTTCTGTTTTTTGATTACAGAGTCAGACTGCAATACATGGGAATTGGTTCTTTACAACCCTAATCGTCTAAGTGATGGCTCACTCTTCCAATGAGGAGGTCTGGATGTAACATTTCAGCATATAATGAATGTTGTTAAAGCCGTAAATACCAGACACGGAAAGACAGGAAAGCTTAAGTTCATAACATGAACAATTATTTTCGGCTGAAGCTGTCTGAATATAGCAGACAAAAAGCTCACTCTCCGCAGTGCTCTTCCTCAGGCTAATTTCTTACCATACTGCACTGCAGCAAATGTTACAGACGTACTGTAACAGAACAGAATAACTTAGCAGACAAAAAGCTCACTCTCTTCAGTGCTCTTCCTCAGGCTACTTCCTTACCATACTGCCAGGGGCGCCGTAAGGGGGAGGAAAGCTAGGATGATTCCAAGGGCCCCTGAGTGACAGGGGCCCTAAAAAATTAGGAAAATAACTGGATTGGTTTGGACTGGGGGGCCTAATATGATATGCTTTCATGGGGCCCAAAATCTCTAGCAACGCCCCTGCATACTGCACTGCACCAAATGTTACAGACGTACTGTAACAGAACAGAATAACTTAGCAAACAAAAAGCTCACTCTCTGCAGTGTTCTTCTTCTAACTAACCTGGTTAAATAAAGGTTTAATAATAATGCAGAAAATAAACACACACATGTGCTTCTTATAGTAATGAAAGAATCACAGCAGGTGTCTTCAGCAGACATATAAGACTGTGAGCAGGAAACCTGCCTTCTGTTAACAGAAAGTTCAGTGCATGTGTGTGAGTGACCATAAACAGGTCTGTGAGTCTCATGGACTCATCTCTGACATTCTGCAGATCCAGACCTCGCTCCCCAACCTCTTGTTGGATTACCTGGAGGAGCTCAGTGATGAAGAGTTGAAGAGGTTTAAATGGAAACTGAGTAACACAAAATTCAAAGGATATTCAAAGCTCCCTCCTTATAGTCGGGTGAAGGACTTGGATATAACGGATTTCACTGAGCTAATGATACGTTCCTATGGTGAAGTCGGTGCTCTCAAAGTCATGCTTGAAGTCCTGAAGAATATGAAGCTGAATGGCCTTGTTCAGAGGCTGAAAGAAGACCTGCAGAATGGTAATCATATTTTGAACCCTTTTTAAGCTCTTGAAAAATAAGTATAGAATTTAGCATTATAAAGAAAATTATGAACAGTTAGATATTGATGTTGAGGTGACCTTGGGCCTCCAGAGGTTTTTTTCTCCTTACTTGGGAGTTTTTGGTTCCTCTCCTCTGTTCTCATCTGGCTTTATTTTATTTTTTTGTCTTCTCTCTTCCATATTTTTGAATTATTCTGCATAAATAATACAGGAATGTATCCCAACATGCCCATGTACTGTAAAGCACCTTGGACTCGGTAGTGAAAGGCGCTATATAAAAAAACATTGAATTGAATTAAACTGAATTGAATTCTGTATATCGGGGTCTGTGGCATAGGTAGTGTAGGCAAAGGCTAGGGGTGCCATCCATTCTGAAGGGGGCGCCCTGGTGCCCCAAAGGATAGGAAGGGAAGGGGTAAAATTTAAAATGTTAACTTTTAATATATTTATTTACTACTGTTTGAAATTAATATTTCAAAATAATAAAAGGCTTATTAAATAAGCAAACCTTATTAAATAGGGGCTATTTTTTGCTTTGCCCAGCGCCCCCCCCCTCCCCTCCGTATCACACACTGTAGGCATTTATAAGTGACATTGATACGATTGATAAGTGTGTGACACGATTAATGGTATCTAATTCAAACAGACACTATCATGTCAGAAAGACCAAAGCCCTCCGGTGCCCAGGGAAGAAAAAGAAAAAGAGAAGAGGAGGAAAAACTGGAAAAAGACAGAGGTAATAATCACTAATCAGAGTAATTACTGTGTTACTGTCTGTGGTCCGTGGAGCAGAGTGTTACTAGCTTACCTTGGATAATTCGGCATTTGCTAATTTAATAAATAGCTAGAATTAACGCCAGTTCCTCCCAGCGTAAATTCATTAGGGAAAGTTGGAAATACTTTTCAGGTGTTTGGGAACAGGAATAACCTACAGCATCATTTTCAGAAATACGCTTTATCTTTAAAGTGTCCTGCTGCACCTGCATGAACCGTCCACTGTGTCTGTCTCAGGATAGTAAACTGTGATAGGCAAATAAAATGCATTTCTGTTTCCATCCCCCTTTAACTAATAGTTTAAAACCTTTGCATTTTTATAATTGATTAGTCTTATATGTATAGCAAACAGCATTATCATGTGAGCGACGTGCTCAGTGAATGAGGTTTTGTGCATGAATGCCAGCCAGCTGTAATTTCTCTTGCCGTTTACTTTGTGTTTAGAAAGTTATAATCAGGCTTAGGTGCTGTTATTGGCTGGGTTTAATGCCACCCCAGCCAGGCCAGTCAGTCCTATAGGCGACATAGGCGGCCGCCTAGGGCACCACCTTCTGAGGGGGTGCCAACTTACCAGCCAATTTCGCTTTGCCTCAAGCAGGGCTCCACATCAGCTAGGACCAGAACTGCTGTACAGATATCTGGGGCTTCAGGAAAAATATGTAGGATGTGAAATGTAAAGCTTAATTTAAACAAATAGCGAAAACATATGTGTATGTGCGTGGGGGGTGATATATATCCACAATGTGATAAAAGTCTGTTATTCTGACATTGTGGGGACCATTTTATTGGGTCCTGTATGTGGTGTTCTAGTAAAATATGTATGATAAAACTTTGAGTTTCACATTTGTCACAGTGAAATATCTGAATTTGTATGTGTAAAAATGTGTGTTTTTGGAAAATATTCTTCCTTTCGTACCGGTCAGGGTCACGGTGAGAATTAATGCTTTTTCCTCTCATTTCTTTCCAGGACAGCTCATGCTGCAATATCAGCGGGAAATCAAATGTAAACTTAAGAAGCAATTTGAGTGTGTATTTGAAGGGAAAGCTAAGGAAGGACAGCCAACACTTCTCAGTGAGATTTACACAGAACTCTACATAACTGAAGGTGGGACTGGAGGAGTCAATGATGAACATGAAGTGAGACAGATTGAAACAGCATCCAAGAAAAGGCGAACAGAAGATACTACAGTCAAGTGCAATGATATATTTAAACCCTTAAGTGGGCGTGAGACACCTATCAGAACTGTACTCACTAAAGGGGTGGCAGGTATCGGGAAAACAGTCTCTGTGCAGAAATTTATTCTCGACTGGGCAGAAGGAAAAGCAAACCAGGACATTCACGTCATATATGCTCTTCCTTTCCGGGACCTGAATTTGATTAAGGATGAATACAGTCTGATTGAACTGCTTCACCGCTTTGACCCAGAACTGAAATCACTTGAATCCACTGAGCTGTTTAGGTACAAAGTCTTGTTCATCTTTGATGGTCTGGATGAGTGTTGCCATCCTCTAGATTTTCAGAACAATGAGAGTTGGTTTGATGTAACAATGAAAATGTCACTTGATGTGCTGTTGACTAACCTTATTAAGGGGAATCTGCTTCCATCCGCTCTCCTCTGGATAACCTCCCGGGCTGCAGCAACCAATCAGATACCTCCTAAGTGTGTCCACCGGGTGACAGAGATACGAGGTTTCAGTGATGCCCAGAAGGAGGAGTATTTCAAGAAGAGATTCAGTGATCAGAGTCTGGCCAGCAGGATTATCACACATGTGAAATCATCAAAGAGCCTCTTCATCATGTGTCACATACCTGTGTTCTGCTGGATTTCAGCCACTGTCTTGGAGAGGCTTTTTAGTGAGAATGACAGGGGGGAAATTCCAAGTACTCTGACTGGAATGTATACACACTTCCTGATCCATCAGGCAAGTTTTAAAAAAGACAAGTATTATACCAAGCTAAATGAAAACAGCAAGCAGTTCCTTTTAAAACTTGGTAAACTGGCTTTTGACAACCTTGAGAAAGGCAATCTCATATTTTATGAGCAAGATCTGGCAGAGAATGGCATTGATGTCACTGAAGCTTCAGTTTACTCTGGAGTGTGCACAGAAGTCTTTAAGGAGGAATATGGGTTGTACCAGGAGAAGGTGTACTGCTTTGTGCATCTGAGCATTCAGGAGTATCTTGCTGCTTTATACGTGTTTCTATCAAACTCATCAGCTGACCTGCTGGAGACTGCAGTGGATCAGGCATTAGAGAGCAAGAATGGACACTTGGACCTCTACCTCCGCTTCCTCCTGGGCCTCTCTACAGACTCCAGTAAGACTCTGTTACAAAGGCTACTGGGAGAGACAAGAATCAGCTCAAATAACATTAAGGAACCAGACCAATACATCCATCCATCCAATATCTGTACCCTTGTGTCCTATTCAGGGCCATTGGGGTCTGAAGCTTATCCCCAAAGCTATGTGCGCATGGCAGGGACTGACCCAGGAAGGTGTTCTGGCTCAGAATCGGGTTCCGACTCAGAATCGGGTTCCGGCTCAGAATCGAGTTCCGACTCAGAATCGAGTTCCGGCTCAGAATCGGGTTCCGACTCAGAATCGGGTTCCGACCCAGAATGGGATGCCACCCCATTGCTGCCCGAATACATCAAGGAGAAAATACAGGAGAATTTATCTCCAGAAAGGACCATCAACCTGTTCCACTGTCTGGTTGAGCTTGGTGACAATTCTCTAGTAGAGGATGTACAAAGATACCTGAATTCAGGAAGTCTTTCAGCAGAAGACCTCTCACCTGCACAGTACTCAGCTCTGGCTTTTGTGATGCTGATGTCAGATGAGGAGCTGGATGTGTTTGATCTGAAGAAATTCTTCAGATCAGATAAAGAGCATTGCAGGCTGCTGCCTGTGGTCAGGAACTCCAAGACGGCTCTGTAAGTGACGGGGGGATGGGAAATCATGTCTGGTCTGGCAGTAATACTTGAATATTGTTTGAAATATATAATGTAGATATAATTTATTTTTCCTCATGGATTAAAAACTGTTTTTGTTTTTCATAATCCGGACCACAGACTTTATAATGACTGAAGGTAGTGATGTAGTAACAAACAAAAAAGACAAGATTTCCATGACCATCCTTTGTGTAACAAATAACCAAAGATACAGCAATATACAGAATAGTCCAGTTGTCATTAATAGTGGGAAAGCCACTCATATTCTTTTCAGTTCTAGATGCTTTAGGAAGCATTTCTGTAAATTCTGGGTGTGGTGCGTGACTCTTTGGGTTCAGACCCTGTGTCCGTGAGCGGAAGGCCGCTGGTTCAGATCTCCTGGCCGGCAGAGTGATGTCATCACTGGGTCCTTGAGCTGCGGGGGGGCTGGATGCTGGCCGACCCTGCGCTGTGACCCCCAACTACCTCTCACCTGTATATGTGCCGTGTGTCTCTTGGGGCGAAAAGACAGTTTCCCCATGGAGATGAATGAAGCATCATTATTCATAAATCATTCAAACAAACATTTCTGTTAAAAGCCTATTTCACAGGATTGATAGATCTCCGATTAGTGTATTGTTGATTAGGGCTGGGTGATAAGTAAAAAAATGTATATGAGTCATTTTAATTTAAAATCATCGCAATAAATAATTATTTGGAGTCCACCCCCCCAAACACTGAATTCAGTTTCAGTTCAATTCAGTTTTATTTGTATAGCGCGTTTTCACAACATTACATTGTCTCAAAGCGCTTTACAGCATCCCTGCCCAAAGCCCCCATTGAGCAGCCAGAGGCGACAGTGGCAAGGAAAAGCTCCCTAGAAGGAAGAAACCTTAGGAGGAACCAGACTCCGAGGGGGAACCCATCCTCCAGGGGGCAGCAGAGGAAGCCCTAACCGTAACCAGACTCAGAGGGGGAGCCCATCCTCCAGGGGGCAGCAGAGGAAGCCCTAACCCTAACCAGACTCAGAGGGGGAGCCCATCCTCCAGGGGGCAGCAGAGGAAGCCCTAA